GTTAAGAAAAATCAAACAAGATCACGCATAACTATATTTAGGCTTACACATTGAGAGAATTTGATGAGTCAAAGTGTTTAAATGAACAGTTTCAAAAGTCAAAAGTGGACAAACAAAGCGGGACGGAGGGAGTATTAGTATTGCATTATATCATAACACACTGTACTTTTTGGCATATTGACATCAAAATTTAGTTGATATGATTGAAATTTTCATTACTTTAATGGATTAATTTTTTTTTTTTGACAAATATGGATGATATGGATTGTGGGTCAAACACGGGGTCAAAGTGTGAGACCTACACTACATTCCATCCAAAATTTCTAGCACATAGTTTGTATACTATCATCACTGTCATCCATACTGCAGTGTGGACTAGAAGAGAAAATCCAGATCTCTGACTCCAATTGTGCCTAAGTTATAATAATGTCATTTGATGTAGTAGTACTTTCTGCGAAATTTCATTATTACAGTTTCTACATTCCATTGAAAGCCCTTTTTTTACCATAATCCACACTTAATAATGCCAGCCAAAGGGATTAATCAAGATTAAAAAGCAACCACACTAAATCCCACCGCTCATCATCATGATTCAAAAGAAAGGGGAAGAACTACAGCAAATTTGAAGAAGCACATGAGTATCAATAAAGAGTAATGCAAATTATTACCCACTACTATGGAGGGACTTTTAGGTTAAAATTAATTAATTAATTAATTAATCGCACCCACCGGTGGCAAACCCGACTTTAGATTCCGCCATGTCGAACACCACCCGGAAACCCTGTTGCTGGATGTTCCCGATTATGGACAGTCCCCCATTTGTGCCGGCGAACGCAAAGCAGAACTTCCCCGCCGAGTCCACCGGAATCAGGTAGTTAGAAGCCGGGAGGGAGACGTTGGCCCCTTTGAAATTCAGCACCACCGTCGGCACCTTCACCTCCTCCTTACCGGAAAGATCGTAGCAGGTGTCGAACAGCGAGTACCCTCGCGGGTCTAGCTTCAACTCCGTCGCCCCCTTCCGGAATGCGTCCCTCATCGCCTCGTACGCCCGGCTGGTCAAACGGGTCACCGAAGTGCCCGAATCCACTATGACCCCTCCATCCGCTGACGCCGGATCTAGCTTGAACATTGACGGTTTGATCCCGGGAACGGCCGCCCCGCCGACGCTGATTCCCAGTAGCTCCACGTAGTAGAAGGTGTCGAGCCCGGGGTTCTTGAGGAGCGGGGTGTACACCGCCCTCCTCGCCACCGCAGAATCTCCGAAGACGATGGAAGACGGTTTGGAGGTGGCGGACCGGTCCACGAGGCAATACGAGAACTTCCCTCCGAACCGTTGACCCGCTTGACTCGGAAACGACAGCTTCCCCCTCCCCAGACCCAACAGTCCGGCCGCCCCGACGAAGAGGCCCTGGTTGTTGTGACCGCATCCGATCGCCACGTTCTCGACGCGCGTCTGCCGGAACGTGAGCGTCTCCGTGGAGAACTCGCCGTCGGTGAAAGATCCGTCGCCGTAGGACACTTGGTAACGGCACATCTTGAGGGGGTCGCAGGCGGGGCTGTCCAGCAGGTGGCACAGGGGAGTGTCGCAACGGATGGGGGAAAAGGACTTGGATTTCTTCGGATCGAAAACCGGGTCGGCCTGGGAGTAGCATTTCTTGCAGGGAGAGCACTGGAGCCAAACGACGTCGCTCCCGGTGTCGAGAACCATGTACAGGTACTTGGGAGGCGTTCCCACGCCGAGGCGCGTGAAGTACTCGCCGCTCCCCTGAGAGAGCCCGGAGATGACGGAGCTGCTGAAGTCCGCTCCGCGGCCGCCAGCGCGGCGGGAGACGGTGGCGTTGGCCGCCGCGTCGGAGAGAGCCTTAACCCTAGCGGCATCCCGCTGCAGCCGCATCCGGAAGAGGGATTTGGGGGTGGCGTTCAGTTCATCGGCGTAGATGCGGTCCACGTGATGGAGCTCTAGAGCAAGTGAAGTCTCGTCGGATTCCGGCTGAAGCAGAGGAGTGAAGGAGAGCGACTGGCGGGTGGCGGGGAGAGGGCGAAGAGCAAGGGTCTGGTAATCTGAGGCTTGGCCGGCGGCGGGGGAGGAGGAGAATACGAGGACGAAGAAGGAGGAGAAGACAAAGAAGGAGAGAGAATCCGCCATTGTTAGGAGTGATGAGTGAGAGATGGAGACAGAGGGAAAGAAATCCCTAAATAAAGAAAGGGGAAGGGAAAGGGGTGGTGAGTGGGGACAGGGGAGACAGAGGGTAGTGTTGGCTTATTGCAAATGCGATTGGTCGGATGCTCCAAATCGGCGGTGATCTCTTCATTCATTCATTCATTCAGTTTCAACACAAAGCAATTAATTTTACTCGGTTGTTCGTTGCTGTGCTTCTGGTTGTCATTATGATTGTTCCGCTGGTTGGGTTAGCAGTCTTAACAACGTGCTTTGTACATTGTTAAGTGTTAAATGATCCCATGTGTGACCACCACCTCCAAAAGTCACTTCAACGTCTTAGAGCAACCAAACAAAGTTCAATGCCCATTTACTTCTTGTTGAAATTAAGCATGCTTCAATCTAGTTTTTGTGGGGTGCTTAAGGGCAATGGAAATGCTCTTAACAGCGAGGACGCGTTAAACGCCTCATGACGCCGAAGAAAGAGTACCGCGCAAATCACGGGATTAGCTTTCATGATCTACAAACTACCTTAATTATGTAAAGGCCGTGTACAAATAGAGGAGATCCAAACGGAAAACCTCAAGCTAAACCTAGCGTATAATTTCATAATTCTTGAGTTCTCGTTTCTTAATTGTTCTTACAATCCACTTATTGAGTCGGATTATTTGGTGGAATTCTTGTCCATCAGTTTGAATATTCATAATAGTAATAATAATGATAATAATAATAAAAATAATAACTGAAAATACCCGGGAATCGTGTCCATATTCTCTTATTCTTCGGGTCTTGAATGTCATAAGTATTGATTCTTCAAGTGGGGGTTTAAGTATTGATTCTTCAAGTGGGGATTTGAATGCAACGTATATCCATTACTATATACTCCCTCCGTCCCAATTTAAATCGCCTGTTTTGACTTTTGGGCATATTTAAAGAAAATAAAAAAATAGAATTGATTTTTCGAAATTGACATTACTTTTTAGGAGGGGTGATGATGAATGAGAAGATAAGGTGAAGAAGAGTGACTTATTTTAGGGGTAGTTTAGGTATTTTATTTTTAAAAGTTTACGAGAACAACTAACAGACAACTTATTTTGGGACGGAAAAAAAAAAGACAAACAAGCAATTTAAAATGGGAGAGGGAGTATAAAATTTGCTAGAAAACTCTCATGCTAAATTGTTTGTTTTGATCTCTATTATCATTACAACCAAAAGTGTTCAAATAATTATTTTTTTGAAAAATGGCATCAATTTTATGAATCATTGACACATTTATCAGAAATTCTAACCACTATTCGAAGCCATACATTTTTGTAAAAAAAAAGAGGAAAAAGTATCTAAGCATAGATCTTTTGATTGTGTAAATAAAAAAATGATGCCTCTTAATCATGGAATATGATCTCCACTGTGCTATGTCCTCTATCTTGCGGTGGCAAACGGTACTCACTCACCGCTCTCATTCAAACAGGAGGACCACAATCCTACCTTAAAGGGGTGTTCCAGTGCAAGTTTAGAGTTGAATGTTGGAAATTGTTGTGGACTTACATATAGTGAAAGAGTGAGACTTTCATAATTGAGACTTTTGTTCTCATCCATATTTGCCCAAATAGAAGGTTAAATACTCCATACTCCCTCCGTCCCCAATTTGATTACAAATTGCGGGTTACGGAGTAAAATTTTCTACTTTTGGAATCATTTTATTTACAAATTTGTATATCAATAAGCTATAAAAATTACTCCGTACATATTAAAAAAACTACGTCAAAAGTTCTACAAAACAAGAGGTGACAAGAATATTTTATTTTATCAAATACTTGATGAAATCACGTAAACAAACAAAAGTTATCGAGAGGAGAGAAAAAAAATTGTAATCTATTTTGGGACAGAGGGAGTATATGCTTTCTAATGTTACTGCAAGATCCAAAATACTACATGGCCCATTAAGGACTAATACTGTCCAGATGTTAGAAGGGAAAAAAACTTTTACCTTTGTAAATAGGTAGATAGATAGATATAGATAAAAAAATGTTAGAGGTACACCAAAGCATGGACGGATCTACAGCATAGGTTATGGGGGCAGTTATATATGTGTGTGTATTTTTTATGTATATATAATTGCCCCCACTAAAATAAAAAAATTGCCCCTAGTTTGGCCCAACACAATCAAATAGGCTAAAAACCCAATCCAAAAGTGGCCCAATTCCAAATTCCCAAAAATTAAATACTCCGTATAATTTCTCCTTCCCTGGCTTTGCAGAAATCGAGAACGAGCAGAGGAGCCGATTGAAGAGCCGTTACAGCCGAACAGCAGCACCGTCTGCCGCGCCGCCGTCTCCCATCCGCCGCGTCTCCGCCGAGCAGCACCGACCAGTCGTCAGTCGAGCACCAGGTATTTCCAAATAATTTTTGTTTCCTTTTTAAATTATGAACTAAATAATTATATAAATCTGAAAATTAGATTTATGTGTAATGTGTGTAACCTTTTGAATAATTTGTTTTTATATCACTATATGTCAAGGCACTTCTATGGAGCTGCTCTTAGCTTCCTATGGAGCTGGAAAGAGTTGAGTAGCATCATATCATAAATCCAAGTGGCAGCAGTAGTATCAGTAATACACAATAACAAATTCATCTGCAAAACCAAAATGTGGATAACGTGCCTTGACATATAGAAATGCCGCCACTTGAATGGGAACATTGTCTAGGGTGACAGCAGCCTGGTCAGAAATACGAACGACCTCTTCTTTTAAGGAATGACTCCTCGCATCCATCGGCTGATACCTTTTGTTGACAAAGTTGCTTATGTCCATTCCTCTGCGTATGATCGACCAGCTCAGACGAACTTATACCCGGACTCATCTTGGAAATCTTTCTCTTGATGCAACTTTCATTGAAAGATCTTCACTCAATGAACAGATCAATGTGAGCATTTACAATCTGCTCGCTCGCTCTATATTCTGTTCAACTGAGCTAATAGGTCTTTAATAAACAACTATGATGCTTGTACTATTTCTATCTCCCAGGCTCTTGTCAACAGTGCAGCAAAAGATTGGGGCATTTAATGCATCCGATATGAAATAAGTGCGTACATTCAACATTGCACGTGTTTCTTGTCAGTCTCCTCCTCCTTATTGGTGCACTGTTTTTTCTTTTTTAATTTATTATTAATGAATTCCTCTTGTCCAGGGGATGTGTCTCCTCCCCCCAGAATTAAAGAAGCAATGGAGCTGCAGGCCGTAGCTGAGCGCAATAAGCGCGCCAGGATTTTACAATCCGAAGGTCTTTAACTCACTCATTCCTATAGACTTTGCTCCGGGGTTCATTATCTGATTGTTTTGTCTTACCATTTTAGGAGAAAGGCAGGCCTCTATCAACATTGCCGAGGGCAAGATGATCGCAACTGTACTAGCCTCAGAAGCGGCCATAATTGACTTGTCTAATAGAGGGCGAGGTTTGTCTAATAAGCCCCCGTGTGTGATTCTTCTTCTAAACTGAAAAACGTGCACATGTTTGCTAGGGATGAAATGTAGACACTGCTTATATTTGATGCATGTTCTCTGCAACAGAAATGAATATATCTGGTTATACTTATCCATGAATGCATTTAGTGACAGCTTATGTAGTCGGTCATTTCTAGACTCCAGTGAGTTTATAAAGACAAAAAAATAAGAAAAATTAGGGAAAAGAAATGGGAAAAAAGAACTAATAGCACTAAAATCATATACTCCGTCTAAAATAGATTCAGTTGCTTTTTTTAAAAAAAAAATGGTTTAAACAAAAGTCATATTCCAAAACTAAAGTTCAGATTCGTGTTTAGCTTTATTTTCTTTGATTGAGTTCTGAAAATACATTTGATAAATCAAAGAGATGTCATTTCCTCGTCTCTCGCCTTTATTCTGCATTGCACCCTTTAACAGTGCCTTGCAAGATGTGATAGCATCATAAGAACGGAATATTTATTTCTATTGCATAATGTGCATGATGTGATTTGCTTTGTCTAAGCACTGATAGGGCTCAATATTTGGCAATATATATACATCAAGAGGGGCTATATAGTATATACATGATTAAATAACTGAATGTGTCTGCATGTAAATTTTCACATGGCCGTGTGATGCCTAATGACATTTTGAAAATAATTGATTGAAATGGAAAGAGGAGCTAGAATCGAAATTAAGCAAAGAAAGAATTGAAGAAAAGGTCGGCCAGATCTGAGGGTATGTATCTGCTGCGTGAACTCTGTGAAGCGTACCATGTAAAAATATATGCTGGAGGACAGGGAAAGTTTTAGTAAATACAAATTCTCCATTATACCCCTGAATATTGGACGGGAAATTTAGCCAGACGCTGTTTTGCTTTGTATATAGTTAGATATATTAGATTAGATTGCTTTAAATCTCTTGACGATTATAAACAGGGAAAGCAGTGGCCATCGAGAAAAAAGCGAAGGCGACCGCTGATGGGATTGGTGTGGTGGCAGCGCAGCTTTGCAGAGACGGGAGCACGGAGGTGTGATAATGTTTGCTTTTATTTACACACTCATATAATTGAGGATATGATCGAACTACTTTTAGTATATATATTAGTATAAACAAGACTAGTTTAAACGATGCAATTTGCTTTTTTATTTATTCTTCCAGGCAGCTGGTTACAGAATTGCAGAGAAGTATGTTGAAGCGCTAGGTGAGATTTTCAAAAAGGCTGAGTTCCCTCCTTCGCGTTGGTTTAGTTGTGTACTTTAATATAAACATGTAAATGAACGCACACACATGCGATATACAAGCGCGTAACAATTATTTCATCCGAATGCAGGGAGAGAATACTGTTTTCCTTCCCTGGAGTGCTCCGGATCCTCGAGTGAAGCCTTAGCATGGCATCAGAAAATCAACCCTATTCTGTCTAGTTCTTCCCATTTCATGCATATGACAGTGTATATTACTAAGGTACTAAATCACAGCCTAATGTGCTTCTTCATCCAGAGGCTTTGTTAAAGGCTAAAAAAGAGTGGCTCTATCGGTTCATTGCTACATGCTAGTTATGAGGCTATGGTTTGACCCTTTGAAATTTCAGAAATTGTGATTCGGAGTTTATTACAATAATATATTTTGTGATTTAATATTATACACTTTTATTTCTTATGGATGGAAGTTGTTAGTATAAAATTGGTGTATTTTGATTTTATATTTTTAACTTCTACGTTTTTACATTGCTTCCATGTTTATCAATACCAATTTCATTTAACCCTGGAAATATTTAAATGTCTTATTCACCGCTCTAAAAGGTGGACGCATAGATTAACAAAAGTTCTTTTATTAACGTGTGTGCCTCATTGTTGTACAAGAGTATGGGTGGCCCGAGGGTCCTATCCCAAGTAGATGTTACAATCAAGACGAGTAGTGCTTTTTCTCTCTATACCCCACTCTTTTCTCTTTTGAATATGATCCCTATTTTTTTGCACTTTATTGCTTATTTATATGGGGAATTTACATAAATAGTATTCAAACAAAGTTGACTTTCCCAATATAGTATCATAAGTTTTTATTTCTTAACGTTCTATTACTGGTCATTGTTCAATTAATGTTTATCGCCACTGGACATTGTTCAAACTAAATGTAGACCATCAGTGGATATTATTCCCGCCATTAGACATTATTCAAATACTATTTAGAGAATAAAAAAGTTTAAGTACTAGATTGAGAAATGACATATGTTTTAGAACTATTTAGTGCAAATTTTACTATTTATAGAAGAAGAAAGCATGGACAAATTGGATGATGTGAGAGAGGGGTAGGGGTTCGTACACTGCGACATTCTCGTTGGTAATGTGCATGCGTGTTAGATGTCTCTTTTGCATATAATGTCTCATCCGAACCGAACCAGACTGACGCAGACCAGATCGAATTAAATAAAATCAAGAACCGGAGACCGGATATAAATCAATTCGGGTTTGGACCGGATCAGACCGAAATACTTAGGACCGAACCGGTTTGGACTTATTGGACAGAATAAAAATACATATTTTTTAAATTATTTTGATCCATTAGATATATTTTAGGCTTTTTACTTTGTACCATTCAAATAGAAAAAAATAAAAAAAAAATAGGCAACCTAAAAAAGATACACAATATGAACTACTAATCTACTATGTAGAATCATAAAAACTTGTATGAAACTTTTTTTAAAAAAAATTACTTAATAAAGAATCTTTTTAATTAAATAATATAATATATCTATTAAAATAGAGCATCAAAATGTAATAAGAAACTTAAAAACTAGAGTGTTAATTTTTAAATTTTTTAAGTCCAGTAGGGTTGTTAGGTCAATTCGGTCTGGATATAAATCATTTCGGGTTTGAACTGGATCGGACCGAAATCCAAAGACCTAATTTTTCTTGATCGAAAACTGAACCGAAATGCATTCGGTCCGATTTTGGTATGGGCCCAACGGTCTAGTTCGGTCGGATTTTTTGATCTGGACATAAACGGGAAGAGCCCTAAACATGACTAGACTGAAATAGAGTGATTTTTGATTGTCTGCTCTTGGACAATCATAATTTAAACTTGTGTGGGTTTAGGCAAAAGAGATTAATAATAGGGAGATGCTAGGAGTACACCAAAAGTTGTACCCCATTTATACACCACCCCCTCCATAACCACTCATTTAATTTTATTTTTATTTACTTAATTTTTTTTAAATTTCTTGCCTATTTAAGTGGTAATGGATAGCATTTTCCTTAATAATAACATTACCACTATGTTTGGTTCACGGAATTTGAGACGGAAAGGAAAAGAAAATGAAAAGGAAAATATTTTTCTTGCTTGGTTAGAGAGGAAAAGAAAGGAAAAGTGGAAGGAAAAGAAAAAGAGAAGGAAAAATGTACTACGAGGAAGGAAAACCAAATTCCTCTCATTTTGGTGAGGAAAATGAAGGAAACTCATTTTCTTTTTTTTTCTACCAAATTCCTTGAACCATAGTGTACGGGTAGTTATAACAAATGAGGACTCTGCAGGGTATAGCTTTCTTGGAAAACAAGAGACTTTGTATATAATCCGAATACATCATGTCTTGGCCCATAATGCGCTCCTTGCCGCCGGAGTATATCGTTCCCACTCTGCAACCAATTGGATCAACAACATGAGTTTGGTGAAGTCCCGCCGCCCTCTCTTCAACCTCGTCGCGAGTCATCATCTCCCCGTCCCCCGCTCTGCTCGTCACATCTCCACCGCTCCTCCGCCGCTTCTCCGCCAACCATCCACATCTGTATCTCAACGTCACCTCCCTCATCCCTTCTCCGCGGCGCCTGCTGCCGTTCGTCACGTTGCCTACTCCCGCGAGCCCAACACCAGGTATAATATATATTATTATGACTAAGCAAGTTAGTTGATAATGAACACTACGAATGAGTACCATTAATAATCAATGTTTCAGAACAAACACTATGTTAAAAGCACTTAATTAATAATCTCCATCTCAATCTGATCTGCATTTTTGTTCTCCCTTACTTCGATAGGATAATGAGTAAAAAGCTTGTTGTGGCTACATTCATGATAATATATAATTAATTAAATTGACGTTTCGAATTCAATTGATGGATTGGCTTTTGTTATAAGTTATGATATTAAGCCAATTGAGCCACCGCTGAACTGGGGAATTCGTATGGTGCCTGAGAAGAGGGCGTATGTGATTGAGCGATTCGGGAAGTATGTGAAGACGCTGACTCCTGGACTCCATCTCTTGATACCCTTTGTTGACAAAATCGCATATGTCCATTCTTTGAAAGAAGATGCCATTCACATTCCCGACCAGCCTGCTATTACCATGGACAATGTCAATGTTCAAATTGGTGGAGTTCTATATGTCAAGGCAGGTTATTCTATTCTCGGTATTTATTTTTGGTTAATTTACATTTTTTTTGAGGAGGCGATTGGCACCTTGGCTTGATGATTTTGGTCTATTAGATTTGTGATATGAAGCTAATAAAACTTGATGTTATTCCGGCCATCTGCAGGTAGTGGACCCTAAGTTGGCTTCATATGGAGTTGAGAACCCTTTGTATGCTGTGATTCAGCTCGCTCAGACAACCATGTGAAGTGAGCTTGGTAAGATTACTCTCGACAAGACTTTCGTGGAAAGGGAGAGCCTAAACGCAAAAATAGTGGTGAGCATTTGGCTTCTAAATATAATTTCCTACTTAATTACTCCGAGTAGAATGTTTCATATACATTAGATAGGTCTTAAAGAAAAAGAAGTGACTAACATGTTTGTATGTTATCACATTTTTTTTTATGTTACAGATTGCTATTGGCGAAGCTGCAAAGCATTGGGGCTTACAGTGTCTTCGTTATGAAATAAGTGGGTATATCGAATATTCTGGCTTCTTCTTTTAATCGATATTTTTATGAGTTCACGTTCGACTTCATTCCTTTGCCAAATTCAGGGGATATATCTCCACCGCACGCAGTTAAGGTAGCAATGGAGTTGCAGGCTGAAGCAGAGCGCAAAAAGCGAGCTCAAATTTTAGAATCTGAAGGTACAAATATACTCTTTAATTCAGTGCTTTCTAGAAAGTTTGCTATTGAGATGTCAGGCATATACACACATATGGTTCGTGACACCGTATGGTCTTGTTACTCTTATAGGAGAAAGACAGGCAGATATTAATATTGCAGAAGGCAAGAAGAATGCAATGATTCTTATTGCAGAAGGCAACAAGAGTGCAGTGATTCTTGCATCAGAAGCGGCCATGCTCGACCAAACTAACAGAGCAAAAGGTTGGTTGGAATTTATTACAGGTGATATTAGATATATCTCTAATAATTACGGAGTATTATAACAATATGTAGGAGAAGCAAATGGTATCCTTGTAAAAGCAGAGGCAACGGCGAAAGGAATTGCTGCTGTGTCACATGAACTACAAAAAGTTGGGGGTGTGGAGGTGATCGAATTTCCTTTCATTATATTCACTAAAGAGCTTTTTTTCACCAAAGAACTATGTGTGTGTGTGTGTATATATATATATATATATTAAGGAGTAGTTTCTTTTGCTCTTTAACATAATATAGTACATACCTTATTTTGCTTTATTTAATAAGATTGCCATGTTCTCAGGCAGCTAGTTTAAGAGTAGCAGAGCAATATGTCGATGCCTACCGCGAGATTGCCAAACAGGTGACTCTCTCTCACTCTCTCAGTCCAAGTTTAATTGTCCAGTTTATTACACACACACACACAATGGAGTATATACGAGTATATAAGTATATATTATTGGTCGGAATGCAGGGAACAACGATAGTTTTCCTTCCATCTGGTGCTTCAGAAACTTCCACTGCAATAGGTCAAGCCTTGACGTTGTACAAGAGTATGCTAGGCAAAGAAAATGCTGATTGAACAAAGGAAGGAACCAACCGAAAGTATCATCATTTTATTTTGGATAGTAGACATCCGTTTGTTTATGTTAGTGATTTATACTCTTATGGTAAAGAATAAAAAATTTTATGCCATTATTCTTCACTATCACTTTTGCCCTAGCTGGTTTCAATCTTTTATTATTTTGATAAAGGTTGTTTAGAAATTATTTCTTTCTCCATATAACATAACTGTATTAGTCATTCATTGCTTAACTGTTTCAAAAAAAATTACCAAAATATATCCAACTCCGATTCATTATATTTAAAAAATCTTTACCCATTTTATTACTGTAGCTAATTTGCTTACAATCAATTCGTAGAAGCAAGATAAATGATCATTATTCATTAACATCACCCACTTAAAACACTAGTCACGTAATGATATGAAAGTGAAAGTGGTGGTGACCTTGTAGTTGCTGCAGTTGTCACTTTTGTTGCTTCTGTCGCCTGGAAAGCTCCTTGACCCATAATGTACTATTCTATATTTTGGCATCTGTGGAAATGAAATTATGTGGTTGTTTATGATTTAAAACAGAAAAAAAAAAAAAGATGCAAGACAAGCGTTATTCAGAAGACAGGCAAAACATTAATTTTAGGATGGAGGGAACATATTGTATTCCTACAGTCAAAGAGTAGAGATTTTAATAGACTCTTGTGAACATTATCTATTTCTGGCTTGCTTGCACTGGTGTACAATCAAAATCTGGGAATAAGCATAAAACGTTCTCTTTCCTACAATTCTTACACAAAAATTTAAAAATATAACTGTAAAAAGAAGCAAGAAAACTATGTGAACTGAATTAAAATTTGTTATGACCCCCCTGCGGATGATGGAGGCCACGGCTGTAGAGAGCTTGACTCGCTAGAAAATGCAGCAATCAACTTGTCCCTTGTCAGCGGCTCGGGCCCACTGGACTTGACTACCAACGTGTGCAACACTGTATCAGCCCCGGCAGTGACTCTGGATTCCGCGACTCTGATGCTTGCCTCTTTCAATGATTGAATGATTCTTGAAAGCGGATGCGTTTCCAGAGGGCATCTCACCTTTACAATGACTTCATCTTTCCCAGCAGCTTCAATATTGACGATGGGAGCTCGGTTTTGAACCTCCCCCAAACTGGGAGTGGTCTCCCTTGAGCTGCCTCCTCCTCCTCCTCCTCCTCCCAGCCCCTCCCTCTCCAATTCCAAGTCTTTGAGTTTCTTCTGGAGCTCGGTGATGTAAGCAATGGCATCTCCTAGGAGGGAAGCTTTGTCCATCTTGGAAATGTTTGGGACCACTGCTCTCAGCGCGTAGAACCGCTGGTTCAGCTTTTCCCGCCTCTGCCTCTCCGCTTCGACATGGTTGAGAGGCTCTTCCCTTCCATTGGCAGGTTTCCTCCCTCGCTTCCGTGGCCTCTTCTCGTCCGGTGGGCCCGCCGCCTGTTCTTCCTTGCACGAAACTTCGATATCTGAATTCTCGGATTCGACATTAGGCCTCGACGAGATTGCTCCCCCAAAGTCAATTTGCTTCTGCTGATGCATGCTGTTCAACCTAAACTCGTCTCTTCCCCCATTCACAACCATCATCTCTTGTAAATTGTTAGCCGGAGGGGTCTGAGCACTACACATCTCCTCTGCTGGCTTCAAGTTACTGAACTGTGGCCAAGACGCACTGTGATGGCCGTTTCTTCTTGTATCGAAAATAGGGGCTCCATTTCCAACTATGTACCCATCCAATGGTCTGTTTTCTTCTTTCCAAAGAGAGTGGCTCTCCTTAGAATGGGAATGAGAACTCAAATCAGGACCAATATTTTTGGGAAATCCGTTTGGCCTCTCGTTAACAACTGAACTGGAGTAGCTGGAACCATCTCCGTCTTTCTTGCCCCCAAAGAGGGGAGAGAATGGAGAAAAATAAGCTTTGATCGACTGCAGCATGTCTGAGCTCTCTGGTATGGATCTCACCGACCCTAATTCCACGACCCCTACATCAGTCGGTATCAAGACAATGGTTTGCATTCCAGCAGACTTTGCTAGGAACGATCTAACACAGTATTCTGTAGGAGACTTCAAAGCGTCATGTAACCAAAGATGCTTGCCAGATCCAAAACATGTCCCCGGACCGCCTTCTCCCTTGGGAAAAGAGAAGTACATTGAGGCAAGAAAGAACATCTCGGTATCGGTCACCCTATCCAATCCAAAAGCAAAGTTCTCTTCGTCTGCCTCCCCAAACATCATGTGCAGCTTCTGGATGACACTCTTCTTCATCCTCTGCCCGGCCTCGTCCTCCGGGCACAGATTCAGAAACCGGGCGGCACCTTGACACACCTCCACCTCGTCGGGCTCCCTACAACAACCATCCCCCCACCCCAGCACAAGTTCCCCCGAGTTAGAACGAGAAAGCTGCCAAAATATTGCATAATTCCAACTAAAATTACTAGCGTCCGGATTCTCCACAAGATCTGAAAGCTTCACCTGCAAATTCTCATCATTTCCCACCGCCATTAACGAGCACTGAGCCGAAACAGAGCTCGAAATCAAGTAATCAGAAGCCTTCGTTCCCAGCACTGCCGCCAACATACACTTGTCTTCATCACTCCACGACAAGTTCGCCATACCCATCTCTGTAATCATTTCTCTAACAAAACCCCTAGAGCAACACCTCCACAAACCCAATTTATGGATAACTAACGCAGACGATAACAGACAATGAATTGAACAGAGATGGCAAAAAAACTCTGCTTAATCACAAAAATAAGTGAAAATCCCAACGAATGACAGCCAAATATCGGCTTTCGAACAAATAAATGGTCTTCTTCTTCAAAAATACTGAATCAGCCAAAGCTATATATTCAGATCTCGAAATTCTTCATACATGAATTAGAATGGACCCGAAAAGGACAAACTTTCCGTGCCCCAATGCACAAATATGGATGCTACTCAACAATAGAAGAAGAAATAGAAAAGAATACAGACACCGGATAGCGACCTCGAATTGCAGTGCATACGACTTCCATTGATGCTCCTCGTGGGTCGAAGATTGGCAATTCTCTGATGACGGACATTTTATTTGATTTATTCTCTGGGAGAGTTTTATCTTGTTTATCTCCCAAGGGGGGAGAGAGAGAGACGCGTTTGGCACTTTGGGATGATGCTTTTCTTTTTTTCCTAATGCCAAAAACCAATTGTATGTCAATGGCTAATGAAAAAAACCTTGAAGTATGTGAATTTATTTACTCCCTCCGTCCTAAAATTAATTTCTCATTTGACTTTTCACGGTCTCCAATGCGGCACTTTGACCATTAATATCTCCATTTTTATACGAATATATATTATCTAAATAATATATTTCAAAACTATGTTTCAAAATGAATCTATTGATACTAAATTTATATGAAAATTTAATATATTTTTTCCATAATATGCAGTCAAAGTTTTAAAACTTTGATTGCAAAAGTCAAAATGGGAAATTAATTTTAGGACGGAGTGAGTATCATTTATTCAAATAACTAGAGTCAAGATTCAATAAATCCCCAACCACATCTATCTTGATTTAACACTTTTGTGTAAGAATGTCTGGTCGTCATCATCATCAAATAGTTATTTGTATAATATTCTTACATAATTTGTATAAGTGTTTAAACTGAAATTCTTCATTATAAACAATGACTTGTATGTCTAAATATAAACAACAAGAAGAGAAATTTAAGTAGAAAGAAGAATAAAAAATATCATATCTTATTTCTATAAAAAAATACTCTTCATTAATGAATTGTTATGAAAGATACAAGTCATGAGGAATAGAAATTTTGGATTCACGCCAGCTTAGCAAGAATGTAAGGCACAATTTGAGTCTCATTATAAACAAACAAAATATTTTACAATATCTATTACCATAATCTTTGAGTATTTATCTTTTATTTCTTAACACCTCTTACTATTACTTAAGAGGAGCTAAATGCAAATTAACTTTTAGACTAGCATTTTCTCAACACACCCCCTCATCCCGCAGAATTTATTGATTCCGAAAACTAATTTTTGGACTTCATAGTCAACAAAATTTGCGGCATGCAATCGGACGGGTGTGGGAGTGTGTTTGATAATCACCTAACCTTTATCAAAATCAATAAGGTAGTGTTTGGCAACTAGCATTTCATTTCAATTGATGCATTTCAATTCCAAAATTTGAAATTCTGAATTTCAAATGACAAGGGGAGGTGCATGGATTTCAAATTAAGCTTTGTTTTGAATGTAAAGAATTTGATTCAAATCCAAATTCAAAATGCTTAAGTTTCCCAAACATGGAATTTAAGCCAAATCCAGATTTGAAATCCAAATCCATGTTCCCAAACATACCATAAAGGAAAGAAAGGAGTGTGTATGTGGCAATTGATTTGGGGCCCTAAAATTCAGCTTTAAACACATGAAAAACAACAATTATCTTATCCAGCAAATACTCCCACGAGAGGAGTTGATGCATCAAAAGCCCCTCGTGACCACTTAGATATGTTGGCACACACCACACACATGCATTAAATTAGTGGGTAAAGTGGGAAAGAGGGAAAGGATTTGGCTTTAGTTTCACATTTTCACGTGCATAGCGACTTGATGATGGTTGACTGACTTCGGCTTTGGTTAATGTGAAAATCTCCATCAAATCTAGAATCACATACACATATTCATACTACAATTGGGCCGACTTCTCAGTTGGGCTGGGCCGTCCACATGGTGGGGCCTTTATCCCAACAATGTATGACGACGTCGTATCTGGTTTCTCCAGAAAGTGTTCAGATATGGGCGGCACCTCTGCAGCAGCACCACCATGGAAGCACCTTCTTCTCAATTCTCTCAGCTCTAATTCCCACCTCAAGCACGCCATCTACCTTCAGCTCGTAATTATACACCCGCCCTCCCACATATCAATCGCGCCTTTTTTTCTCCCTCTATTTTATTCATTCATTTATTTATTTATCCACTGGGGTTTTCTTTCGATTTTTCTCCTTCAGGCCACAGTTGGACCAAATGGCAGACCCTCTAATCGTACCGTCGTCTTCAGGTCTCCATCTGATTTACTCCTTTAAATGTTTATGAAGATTGAATTTGGCTACTGCGAGTGCAATTTTATTCTATAAAAATACGAATTAGTTTTTTTCCTTGGCTTAATTGGTTGGGTCATTTTCTCTTCTCTCAGAGGCTTTGCAGATAACAGTGATAAGATACAAATTAACACCGACTCCCGAACCCGAAAGGTTGGTTGGTTGGTTCTCCAGAGAAGAGTTTATAGTAGTATTCCATGAGTATATACTGTACTTTTTCTTTGATGATGCTGATTTGATTTGATGCAGATGGAAGAGCTAAGGCATTGCCCATTTGCAGAGGTAACGAAGACCCGAGGTTTTTACGTTTGAGATTGTTTGTCTGTACTTTGAACTTTGGAACAATCTGGTTGAACTAGTTTCTCTCTAATTATATTGTTGGTTCCAATTTGATTCTCTGCTCTGTTTGCTTTGCCTTCTCGTTGTAACTATAAGTTCAATGCCGTGATGTTTCAGATATGCTGGTATTTTACGGATTCATGGGAGCAGTATCGAATAAATGGAAGAGTAGATGCCATTGATGCATCAAATCCCAATCCAGATAAGCTTCGGGTAATGCTAGAGATGATCCAACTGATAACGTTGCATTTTCATACTATCATTGGAAAACTAAAAACCTCGGGTTCTGTACTACCTTATTCCATTTGAGTGCAAATAATGTGAGATAGTCCATATTACTATATATTTGCCGCGTTAAGGAGGCCGTCTCACTGTCTCATGTGAGGCGGGTTCACAGTGAGACATGACCAAAACACAACACAAGATTCGCCCCGGGAGGAGGAGGATAGACTAGTTAGCAATGGTGGCTCGCTTTGCAGTTTACACTTTACACTCGTAATTGACATTGTTATGTGCAAAGTTATGCTCTCCACGCATAATCAGAATGATTGAATCTTTGAACTACTTATTTGACTAGAAATGATCAGTTTGGGAATGACACAATTATATCGCTCTATGTAATTTCCATAAACAAACTGGTTAAAATGTGTGTTTTTTTTGTTATGAGTATGCACATGCAGCAAAGAGAGAGAGCCTGGTTTGAGAGTTCACTGAGGTCAAGACTGCAGTATTTAGGACCTATTCCCGGACTTCCTTCTCTGAACGATCAATCATCTCAAGAGCCTACATTGGATCCTTCTGCCGGTCCAGTTGATGCATTTTGCCTGCTCGTTTTGGATCCTGAGCAGGTTATTTCCCCCCGTAGTAATGCTAATTTAAAACAAACAGCATCAACTCCTAAATTTCAGATGATTGGTAATTGCATATGTACCTTAAATTAGTCATACATAGTTTAAACTCTCGTCACATTTATGCGCAGGTTGACATCTTGAACTTGAAAAGCAATAGAAGGCTAGCATTTGCGTCCCGATGCAGCAGCATCAATGGAGAGAAGACTTGGACATCAACTGAGATCAACCCGTGACTCGTACTTACAGTTGAAAATTTACCAATTCAAAGCACAATAAAGTTGTACAAAACTGATATATGTCTTGAGAAATTAGAGGTGGAACTCTAACAGCATATACGTCTGCGGTACTCTGCCTATTTGTGAACTTCAATAATAAAATAAGGGTATGTTTGGGAACATGGATTTGGATTTCAAATCCGGATTTGGCTTAAATTCCATGTTTGGGAAACTTAAGCATTTTAAATTTGGATTTGAATCAAATTCTTTACATTCAAAATCAAGCTTAATTTGAAATCCATGCACCTCCCCTTGTCATTTGAAATTCATGATTTCAAATTTTGGAATTGAAATGCATGAATTGAAATGAAATGCTAGTTGCCAAACACTACCTAAAGTAATTTTAAAGTGAGAATTTAAACCATAAGTGGTAAGTTTGTGAATTTTGCGACTATTTTATATGTGAACCTAGCATTGCTCCATACAAATATATCTATCTACATGTATGTGATGAACTAGTCGATGATTTTAACGTTGACCTTATGATTGGTGATAAACGAAATATAAGGATAGTGTTTCAACGAAATGAACATCAATATCTAACTTCAAGCCTCCAAATCTTTAAAATCGTGTATTCCCGCGACAACATGTCGACACTTTGGTATTTTAGCTATATTTCCAGTATTTTAGCTATATTTCCTTCATTATTTATCGGAATTGCCAACCGTTCTATGTTTTATTCTTAAAATATACGCAAGTTACAATTACTATGGAATGTCAATGTCATTATACAATACCACATCATTATAGCGCAAATTTCTATTTTAAAAATAAAAACTTGAAAAATAAATGCTACTCACATATGTTTTATTTTTATTTGAGATGATTTGTTTTATACGAGGTACATTACTAAAAACACATGGATTGAAAGAGAAATTATATTGTACAAATATATGAATTTCTCGCTTGGCTTTAGTTGTACGAAGTTTTCTCTCCAAAAATATGAGAAGATTCAATTAGGTTCGAGCTCTAGTGGAGCTAAAGTTGATAGCTTTTTGTACGTCATTAGATTAGAAAAAAGTATGAATAAATACAATATTATCATAGAATTACTAACACTCGTTTTAAAAAAAGAATCACTAACACTCAAAAAGAGTATTGTATAAATATGTACTCCTAAAATTTACTGTATTAAAATACTTCGTCCATTCTAAAACGTTCTTTTCGTTTCTGTTTATAAGGTTTGACCGAATTTATTTTTAATTTAGTATTTGATTGCAGATGTAAAATTAAAAAATAAACTATATATATTTAAAAATTACAATGAAAATAAATGTAGAAAATAAATAAAACCTGGCTATATGAAAAATAATTAAAAAAAACTTTATTTTAAATTTGAGACGGTATATTAGACGATTAGTTTCAGTTAATGCTTTGTAGAACGATGGAAGACGGTAGCAGCACGGGCCCGTCGGCATGGCCGGTCGACATCGGCGACCGTTTACCGCTGCGTCTGGCGAAATCTGAGATCATTCCACCTGCTCCAAACCGATCCAAATCCGGCTCCGAATTCGAACCCGCAATCGACTGGTTATTGGACTTCGCCGGGTACTCATGGATTGCCTACGGCGCATCGTCCCTCCTGGTGATCACGCACCTCCCCAACCCTCTACAAGAGAGGGAAACCGCAATAGGATCAATTTTACGCCAAGTCTTCGAGCTGTCTGCGGACGGCACGGGCACTGTTTCAGCAGTAGCCTGGTCGCCGGCTACACCCTCTTCCGGCGAC